TCAGTTCAGTTAAATCGGAAACTCCTGAAACTTGAGCAATCTCCTGCCTCGGTCTCCCAGAGTGCTAGGATTGCAGGCGTGAGCCACTAGGTCCGGGCCTATTATTTTATTTAAGAGCTCGATCTCTTCGCTTCTCTATCTCTCCTGTTTCCTTTTGCTTGTGTTTCAAGTATAATAACATCCAACAGGATTAATTATGACTATAACCAAATCTATTAGTGTGTATAGAAAACCCCTCAGTCTCAGTCATACAACAATACTCTTTTTCTGATATAACCTTTTGTTTTCCATTTGGAGTTAAATCTTCCATTTATTTTATTTATATTTTTTCTTTAATGTGTGTTTGTTTCTCTCTCTTTCCTGATGTTGCATTTTTTTTTTTTATTTTTATTTATATTTTTTTTTATTTTTTTTTTTATATCTATTCTTTTATTTTATTTTATTTCTATTTTAAGATTATTACTTTTTTTTTTTTAATTTTTTTTTTTTTTTTACTATTTATTTATATCTACTTTCTTTATCTTCTATATCTCTCTCAATATATTTTTTTGCCATTGGTTTTTATTTTTTATTTTGTTTTATTCTTATTTTATTATATTTTTTTTATGTTATTTAATATGTTTTATGTTTTTTTATATTCTCCATTTTTTCTTTTTTTTTTAATCTTTTCTTTCATGTCTCTTTTTTTTTTTTATTTCTAATATATGTATTTATTTTTTTATTTGTTTTTTTTTATTTTTCTTCTCTCTTTTTTTTGTTTATTTAGTATTTTATATTATTTTCCTTTCAAAAGCAAAACAAAAAAGCGAAACCAATATTTGTACTCTCTAAAAAATGTAAATAAGTTTCTACTCAATCCTTGCACTATCTGCACAAATGTTTCCACAGTGACAAATATTTAAGGAATATATTTGGATCGGAAAATTATTATCTATCAGAATTTTGAATACATTTACACTAATTTATACTTACAAGATAATTGCTGTTGAAAATCTAATCTTCTGAAAATGTTGTTTGGATGGTTGAACTTCATTTTATTTTTTTAATCCATATGCGTTGTTGTGTGCTACTTCAGTGGATTAAAAAAGGTGCTGTTAAAAACAGTCATCACGTCTCTCCATTCCACAAACTCACTATCTTAGAGACGTTCTTAAATGCGAAAATTTCAGAATCCAGAGTTTGTGGCATAAGAATAAACTCATAAAGCCGACTGAGACAAAATGCCTTCTCTTGTCCATGAAAGCAAATAAAGAGGCTTATGTTACCAGAAGGAAACAGTGATAATCTGACCTGAGTCTAATAGGAGTGCATAGTATGACCTAAACGATCTGCCCTTATCAATGTTTGTACAGTACCCTGGATCGATCCAAAGACATAGAATTAATAAGTCTGGTATGAGCATTGAAGAAAATTGCAATATTATTCTAGCAAAAGAGTGTTCGTGATGCCTTCATTGTAGTTGCAACTAAGGAAAAAGTGGTAAGCCATATCGGAAAACAGTAGCGAAACCAAGAACAAAAACAACCGCTAATTATCTCATATTCTTCATTCATAAAATACGATAACGATCGTAGATAATAACACCATAACAAGTAAATCCAACCAGTATGTAATTTAAAGCGGCATCATGGTCTATATCGTGGCATATTATAAGAATGACTTATGCAACTAGCAAATTTCAGACTGATCCTCAACATTGCTTAACATGATGCGACAATACTGTGTAATTAAAATCCATTGCGGGATAAAGCACACATATTTCGTGCAGAGCGGCGGTACGGGGCGCGGTCTCTGGAAACGAGCATATTTCAAAGAACTTTGTACACACAAAATTGTGAAGAAAAGAAATATAATATTCTTTACACAATTTATGTATTCTTACTGTGTTCATAATGTAGAAAACAGTAAATGAATGATTATGACCGGCCTACGTGTAGTATCTACTTTTGATGTCAATTTGGATAGTGCATGCTTCATATCACTAAGCAAAGCATGATCTGTAATTCTTTAGCGCATATAAAGCAGAAAAGGCTATGTAAGCGAGGCATGTGGAAGAAGAGTACATTAATGATCGGTGTAGATCTGCTTGTGTACTCCTGGGCTCAAGCAATCCTACTGCCTCAGCCTCCCAAGTAGCTGGGACTATAGGCATGTGCCACCATGCCTGGCTAATTGTTTCTATATATATTAGTTGGCCAATTAATTTCTTTCTATTTATAGTAGAGATGGGGGTCTTGCTCAGGCTGATTTTGAACTCCTGACCTTGAGCAATCCTCTGGCCTCAGCCTCCCAGAGAGGTAGGATTACAGACAGGCCAGAGCCACTGGGCCCAGCCTACAAAATTCTTTGTTCCCTCTTCACTTCCACTGCTTTACTTGACTAGTCATGAAAAAAAAAAACTAGTGGTAAAAAAAGAAAGGTTTTATTTCTTCTAGGTGATTAAGTGTTAAAAATAATGCTTTCTCAGATCTGACTGAAGGGAAAAAAAATGAAAGCTATTTTTAGAAACCCCATTTATTATTTAAGCATATTGCATGTGTGAGCACATAGTCATGTGTCATTGAAGTTATTCTATGGCAGCTATAGATGTGCTAATGGCAAGATAGCAATTTGCAAGGCAAGGTTGCAATTCTGTCCTTTGTAAGAGTGTGTTAGGTAATTGTTGACTTTGTTGTTATGTGTGCTAAAGTAATGTTAATTTTTTTTGCTTCACGAATATGCATGAATAAAATACATTAACAAAACAGGAAATCTTTATAACTCCTCTGGTAACCAAATTAGAGATTTGTCAGGATAATATGGAAATACCACATGCTCTCAGAGAAAGCATTCTAAGTGACTTTAACCTATGACTATTACCAGAGGAAGATGTTTTTATGAGGGGAATTTTATCGATTTAAGGGGTATAGAGTTGTAAGAATGTTTAGAAAACTGTAACTACTTTTGGCCTATGTGTTGGCACTTTTTCTTTTCTTTTTTTTTTTGTTTTTGAGACAGAGTCTCACTCTGTTACCCTGGCTACAGTGCTATGGTGTTAGCGGCTCACAGCAACCTCAAACTCCTGGGCTCAAGCAATCCTCCTGCCTCAGCCTCCCGAGTAGCTGGGAATACAGGCATATGCCACCGTGCCTGGCTAATTTTTGTATATATTTTTAGTTGTCCAGGCAATTTCTTTGTATTTTTTTAGTAGAGACAGGGTCTCCCCCTTGCTCAGGCTGGTCTCAACTCCTGAGCTCAAATGATCTACCTGCCATGGCCTTGGAGAGTGCTAGGATTACAGGTGTGAGCCATCACTCCCAGCCGTGTTAGCACTTTTTATTTGGTATTTTATTTTGCTTTTGGTAATTTTTGTGAATTATATTTCATTGTAGTAATCCAACAGCAAGCTTTTCCAGCTTCCTATATAATATGTACGTGATTATATATTATGTACATTTGTTTTCACATGTTGGTTTTGGGGGATGTTGTGACTTTTCCTTTAGAAATCCAAATGTTTTTATGACATTGTATCTATAACTTGAATAATTTATCAATTCTCCTGTCAGATTTGTAGTAGCTGCCTTGAATTTTCAAGCTGGTGAGGATCATTTTGAAAGTGCTTGTAATAAATCACCTAGATAACCTTAATTTTTCTTAAAGTCTATTATCAAGCCTTTATAAAATAGATATTCCTTTCCAAACTCAGATCAAAGATAAATGCTGTCAGACTTCAAGGTCCATGAATTTGTAGATCTTTATTTTTGCCCCTTGCTGTATAGAAGTTCCTCATGTTTAAATTTTAATTGCATTTTAAATTTAAATTTAATATTTTTTGAGACTATCTGGCTCTGTTGCCTGGGATAGATTGTGGCAGCCTGATCATAGCTCACTGAAGCCCTAAACTGCTAGGCTCAAAAGCATCCTCCTGGCCGGGTAGGGTGGCTCACGCCTGTAATCCTAGCACTCTGGGAGGCCGAGATGGGAGGATCAGTTGATCTCAGGAGTTTGATACCAGCCTGAGCAAGACTGAAACCCCATCTCTACTAAAAATAGAAAGAAATTAATTGGCCAACTAAAAATATATAGAAAAAATTAGCTTGGCATGGTAGCACATGCCTGTAGTCCCAGCTACTCGGGAGGCTGAGACAGGTGTATTGCGTGAGCCCAGGAGTTTGAGGTTGCTGTAAGCTAGGCTGACGCCATGGCACTCTAGCCTGGGCAACATAGTGAGACTCTGTCTCAAAAAAAAGAAAAAGGCATCCTCCTGCCTCAGCCTCCTTAATAGGTGGGACTACAGGTGCACACCGCCATACTTGGCTAATTTTTAAATTTTTTCATAGAGATGGGGTCTCACTGTGTCGCTCAGATTGGTCTTGAACTCTTGACCTTAAGTGATCCTCCCTCCTTGGCCTTCCAAAGTTCTAGGATTATAGCCACTGGACCCAACCATTAACTAGTCTTTAGAGTAATTTCAATAAAGGTAAATGAGTTACATAGTTACATTCTGATTATACATAAACAGTATATTATTTTTAGGTTGTTATATGCAGTGGCTATTTAAAAAATCTGGACATTATTTTAGGCACAAGGTTTTATGGTGTTCGTCTGAAGATCCCTTGTATAAAATTATTTTGTAATGCCTGTTTATAGATTCAGAAACTGACTCTTAGTTTAAAGGTCTCATTGTACTTGTTTTTTTTTTTTTTTCTTGAATAATTAGGAAATACATATAAAATGTTCTGTGTTATAAGGGTTTACTCCTGGCATAGTTCCTCCCCACAGGCTAGCCTCTTAATAAGTAAGTGCCTACAGTGATAACTTTATTTTATAGGTTACTCAACACGAGGATTGTAAAGCAGACCTAAGTAGCCTGAATATATATTAATACATTTAATTGTATTCCTAACTGCCATCCAGCTTTTTAGTACCAGTCCTGCATTTTTAGTATTCTTAACTTTCTGTATGTCATCACTGAGAAGATGAAAGTAGCCCTTCTTACTTTTTTTTTTCTCTTTCTGCAGGGGAAAATGCAGTGTTGCCCTTCTGAATGAGACAGAATCTGTATTATCATATCTTGATAAAGAGGTAATTCGCAACCATACTTGTTCTGTGGGGTTTTTTTTGCATTTATTTATTTTATTTATTTAATTTTTGCATGAAGCTCATACTTTCAAATTTGTTTCTTTTTGCCCCACAGTGTTATTGCAGCAATATGGCAGTATTATTCCAAAACTATGATGACTAGAGTGCATTTGGCTTATTTTATTTTTCTGCTTAACTGAGATAAGAGGTAGCAAAAACTCCTGGGTCTGTCTTTTGTTCGTAATGAAAGACTTTATAAAGTATAGCACATGATTTAGTTGATAGTTGATAAATATTTTTTAGCTTTATGAAATTAATATTTTAGTATATTTGGTTCCCTTTTTCTTTTTTAAATAGTTTTTCTTTTAGGCCCTTACCAGATGAGATTTTACCATTGGTAGTCTGCTTCCTTTCCTGGAATCTTAATTTTTCTTTTGTCATTTAAAAATTTTTTTTCCTTTATTTTTTTATTTTTATTTTTTTAGAGACAGTGTCTCACTTTGTTGCCCAGGCTAGAGTGAGTGCTGTGGCATCAGCCTAGCTCACAACAACCTCAATCTCCTGGGCTCCAGTGATCCTCCTGCCTCAGCCTCCCGAGTAGCTGGGACTAAGGCATGCACCACCATGCCAGGCTAATTTTTTGTATATATATTAGTTGGCCAATTAATTTCTTTCTATTTATAGTAGAGACGGGGTCTCGCTCAGGCTGGTTTCAAACTCCTGACCTCGAGCGATCCGCCCGCCTCGGTCTCCCAGACTGCTAGGATTACAGGCATGAGCCACCGCACCTGGCCACTACCCTTTTTTTTTTTTTTTGACAGTGTCACTCTGTTGCTTGGGCAAAAGTGCAGTGACATTGTTATAGCTCACTGTTACATTGGTGTGACTTTTTAAGAGTTTTACTTTTTAATCTTTTCTCCTGCCACTTACCCATGATTAAAATATAGCATATAATTTCTCAATGGGTGAAATAACTTTGTTTTTTTCCCCTTTTTCCTTATCACAATACGTAAGAACCCCCAGAAGGAGAGAGCTTTACAGTCTTAAAGATTATCTCTTATTTGCTGCTGGGTTGGCTGGGTCTAGGTAAAGTGCTGATGGTGGGGATAGGCCCTTCCAGGATATAATACAGAATTGTGCAGTAGGTGACCTTTGGGAACATGGTAGAAGCAGAAGACAGGATTTTGCTGGTTCAGATGGCCTTCTGTGGTTATACAAAATTCAACAGAGGACTGGTGGACAAGTTATTTTAACCATTAGGCTCTGTAACTAGGGCATTTAAACTTCTTAAGAAATCACTAGAAAGTTTGGTGTTTGTCCTGGTAGTGGTTGTGTGTATAGTTATGTTTATATACCTGTCTCTCTCTCTCTCTCTATATATATATATGCTTCAGAATTTAAAGGAGAACTGTAGAATTATAATCAATAATGTTTAATTCAGCCCCTCAAAAGTGATATTAATAAGTAAATTCCATGTTAAGTTCAGCTCTTGCATAGTATAATGTGAGTTCTATGTACCTTTTAATATTCAGAATAAAATGTAGGATGAATACTCCAAAAAGTAAGAGTGACTGGTATTCATGAAGGCATCTGTGTTGTTTGGTGTGGACTTTAGAAGTTTAGAAGATGACTTGATTTTAGGTGTCTTACCTTTGAATTATGGTTTCATTTTGCTAGTTTTTGAAACTGTTGTATAGAGTAAATGGTTTTATTTTAGACTGAAAGAAATAATAAAACTTCCTAATCTATTTCAAGGTACTTCTTTGGGCTTGATTTAATTTTGCACTATTTTACATGATGACAACGTCACTGCTCTCCTTAAAGTTTTATAAATTTATTTATAAAAATGAAATTTTATATACTCTGAGATTTTATGTTTCATTATTGTGACATTAATGTTATTGCTTTATAAAAATAGAAGGAATTAAATTTACTTAGATATTTTCTGTCATTTTTTCAGGATACCTTTTTCTACTCACTGGTCTATGACCCCTCATTGAAAACATTATTAGCTGATAAAGGTGAAATCAGAGTGGGACCCAGATATCAAGCAGACATTCCAGAAATGCTTGTAGAAGGTAAGTTTTTCTTTGGGGCTTACAGTCCTGTGAAAACAAATATATCTTGAAACTCAGATATTCTTATCCTTATGTAAAAGAAGTAACTTTCAGGGTAAAGTTTAAAAGTTATAAACACGTCCAATTTCAGAAGTACAGGCATACCTCATTTTATTGCATTTACTTTATTCCACTTTGCAGATATATGGTTGTTTTTTTTTAAATTGAGGGTTTGTGGCAACCCTATGTCAAGCAAGTCTGTTGGTGCTATTTTTCTATCAGGATGTGCTCACTTCATGTCTCTGTGTCCCATTTGAGTAATTCTTGCCAGGTTTCAAACTTTTCCCTATTAGGATATCTGTTATGGTGATCTTTGTTGTTACTATGATGACTATTTTGGGGCACTACAAACCAGGGCCCTATAAGATGGCAAACATAATCGATAAAGGTTTTGTGTGTTCTGGCTGCTCCACCAACCAGCCATTCCCTGTTTCTTTCCCTCTACTTGGGTCTCCCTATTCCCTGAGAAGAGTTGCATGTCTCTCAGTGGAAATGAAAAGCTAGAAATGATGAAGCTTAGTGAGGAAGGCATGTTGAAAGCCAAGATAGGCTGACATCTAGGCCTCTTGCACCAAACAGCCAAGTTGTGAATGCAAAGGAAAAGTTCATGAAGGAAATTAAAAGTACTGTTCCAGTGAACACACAGATGATAAGAATGCAAAACAGTATTATTGCTGGTAGGGAGAAATTCTTAGTGGTTGGATAGAAGATCAAACCAGCCACAACGCTCCTTTAACCCTTTGCATTCACTTGCTTTTTTCTCGATTCCTTTATTCTACTTGGGATTTAATTTTTTAAATACCCCAGATTTTACAAAGCGCAGCAGTGGAATAAAAAACTGGAGTTTCTTTTCATACAAATTTATTTATTTGGATCTTTTTATATTTCAAATTATTAATACATTCAAAGAGTAATTTTAATCTCTATAAGTTTTGCTAACCGTGTCAAGTCACACTCGACATCCGAGTGCAAAGGGTTAAGCCAAGGCCTAATCCAGAACAAGGCCCTAACTCCTTCTGGAAAGTATTCACCATTGAGAACATTCATGATTCATGGGAGGAAGTCAAAACATCAACACTAACAGTTTGGAGGAAATTGATTCCAACCCTCACGAATAACTGGGTTCAGGACTTCAATGGAAGAAGTCACTGCACATGTGGTAGAAATAGCAAGAGAATTAGAATTAGAAATGGAGCCTGAAGATGTGACTGAATTGCTGTAACCTCATGATAAAATTTGAATGGACGGGAAGTTACTTCTTATGAACGAACAAAGAAAATGGTTTCTTGAGATGGAATCTGCTCCTGGTGAAGATGTTGTGAACATTGTTGAAGTGACAACAAAGGATTTTGAATATTACATCAACTTAGTTGATAAAGCAGCTACAGGGTTTGAGAGGAGTGACTCTTAATTTTGAAAGAGGTTCTACTGTGGGTAAAATGCTATCAAACGGCATTGTGTGCTACGGAGAAATTTTTTATGAAAGGAAGAGTCTACTGATGTGGCAAAGTTCACTGTTGTCTTATTTTAATAAGTTACCACAGCCATGGCAGTTTTCAGCACCCACCACCCTGATCGATCAGCAGCCCTCAATATCTAGGTAAGACCTTCCACCAGCAAAAAGAATAAAATTTGCTGAAGGTTCAGATGACCATTAGCATGTTTTAGCAATGAAATATTTTAAAGTTAAGGTATGATAGGTACATTTTTTGAAACATAATGCTATTGTATACTTAATGGAGTAGTATATAGTGTAAACATAAATTTTATATGTCCCAGGAAACCAAAACATTTTCTATATTGCAGTGGTCTGGAGCTGAACCTGCAGTATATCCAAGATATGCTTATATAACAAAGAGCAATGGAAAATAATTTATTTTATCACTTACTCATTTATGACTTTACATTTTTATGAGTGTTATCATGTTCTTCTCTTCTCTCCTCTCCCCTCCCCTCCCCTCTTTTCTTTTCCTGTTTTTCTTTTAAATACAACTTTAAAGGCCAGGCGCAGTAGCTCATGCCTATAATCTTATCACTCTGAGAGGCTGAGGCGGGAGGAACACTCATGGTCAGGAGTTCGAAACCAGCCTGAGCAAGAGCAAGACTCTATCTCTACTAAAAAACATAGAAAGAAAACTAATTGGCCAACTAAAATATATAGAAAAAATTAGCCAGGCATGGTGGCGCATGCCTGTAGTCCCAGCTACTCGGGAGGCTGAGGCAGAAGGATTTCTTGAGCCCAGGAGTTTGAGGTTGCTGTGAGCTAGGCTGACGCCATGGCACTCTAGCCTGGGCAACAGAGTGAGACTCTGTCTCAAAAAAATTAAAACAAAATAAATAAATACAACTTTAAGAATGTTAGTGGTATTGAACTTGTGTTTTAATGTGATATCCTCATGCCTTGAGTTTCTTATGTCCCTTTTTGTGAAGTAAACACTAGATCTCATGAACATTTTGATGGAGATTTTGGCTGATCTAGGTTTTATGTACCAGGGGAATTCAAAACGTTACATTTTTAAAACAGATCTTTTTTTTTTTTTTTTTTGAGCCAGAGTCTCATTTTGTTGCTCAGGCTAGAGTGAGTGCTGTGGCGTCAGCCTTGCTCACAGCAACCTCAAACTCCTGGGCTCAAGCGATCCTACTGCCTCAGCCTCCCGAGTAGCAAGGACTACAGGCATGCGCCACCATGCCTGGCTAATTATTTTGTGTGTATATATTTTTAGTTGGTCAATTAATTTCTTTCTATTTTTAGTAGAGATGGGATCTCACTCAGGCTGGTTTCGAACTCCCAACCTTGAGCAATCCACCCGCCTCAGCCTCCCAGAGTGCTAGATTACAGGTGTGAGCCACCGCACCCGGCCTAAAATAGATCTTTTTTTTTTTTTTTTGAGACAGAGTTCTCCTTTGTTGTCCAGGCTAGAGTGAGTGCCATGGCGTCAGCCTAGCTCACAACAACCTCAAACTCCTGGGCTCAAGCGATCCTTCTGCTCAAGCCTCCCGAGTAGCTGGGACTACAGGCATGTGCCACCATGCCGGCTAATTGTTTTATATATATATCAGTTGGCCAATTAATTCTTTCTATTTATAGTAGAGACGGGTCTCGCTTTGCTCAGGCTGGTTTTGAACTCCTGACCTTGAGGAATCCGCCCGCCTCAGCCTCCCAGAGAGCTAAGTTAGAGGCGTGAGCCCCGGTGCCGGCCAACAGATCTTCTTAATGAGACTTAATTAATTTTTGTTCTCCCATCATGACTATGCACTTAAAATCTTTATTTTTTGATTTCAAAAGTAAAACACTCTTATTATGAAAATTAAAACACTAAATAAGGCAGTGTATAGCCGGGCACGGTGGCTCACGCCTGTAATCCTAGCACTCTGGGAGGCTGAGGCGGGCGGATTGCTCAGTCAGGAGTTCGAAACCAGCCTGAGCAAGAGCGAGACCCGTCTCTACTATAAATAGAAATTAATTGGCCAACAGTATATATACAAAATTAGCCGGGCATGGTGGCGCATGCCTGTAGTCCCGCTACTCGGGAGGCTGAGGCAGCAGGATTGCTTGAGCCCAGGAGTTTGAGGTTGCTGTGAGCTAGGCTGATACACGGCACTCACTCTAGCCTGGGCAATAAGCGAGACTCTATCTCAAAAAAAAAAAAAAATTAAGGCAGTGTATAATGTGGATAATGCATGCCATTCCTTTCTTTCAGTCATATCCACATTTAATTATATTATCATTCAGGATATTTGTTTTTTTCTTACCTGGAGTCATCTGTAGGGTCCATGTGCAGTGGCATCCTGTACATGTCATTCGCAACTGCTTCTTTCAGTTAATAGTGCATCTTTAGCATCTTCCTATCATTAGACTGATTTTATTTTTTTAGGGACTGTATAGTTCTTATAAATATCTATGAATATACTATATTTTCACTTTCAGTCCCTTATTGTTAAACTTTTAGTTGTTTACATTTTTGGTGTTACAAGTTGTGGTTGCTAGAAAAGCTACACATATATTTATGTGGTGTAAATATTTTTCAAGGATAACTGCTTGGAAGTGAAATGTTGTATACATCTTAATATTCTGTTGTTTTTTTCCCTTACCATAGCAATGGAAAATATTTTATTTTATTTTTGAGACATAGTCTCACTCGTTTGCCTGGGCTAGAGTGCCCTGGTGTCAGCCTAGCTCACAGCAGCTCTCAATCTCCTGGTTCCAGCGATCCTCCTGCCTCAGCCTCCAGAGTAGCTGGGACTACAGGCATGTGCCACCATGCCCGCTAATTTTTTTTTCTCTATATATTTTAGTTGGCCAATTAATTTCTTTCTATTTTTTAGTAGAGATGGGGTCTCGCTCTTGCTCTGGCTGGTTCCAACTCCTGACCTTGAGCCATCCTCCACCCTGGGCCTCACATAGTGCTAGGATTACAGGTGTGAGCCACCATGCCTGGCCTAGGAAATATTTTATATATTGAAAGTGCTCCTTTGCCTTTTAAAAAGGATATATTAATTCATGTATGAGAAAACCAGATACCTGTACAAACACTGGGTGGAAGTGTGTCTCTTCCCTGCCCCATGCCTTTATTTTATTTTATTTATTTATTTTAAGACAGGTCTCACTCTGTTACACTGGGTGGAATGCAGTGGCATCATCATAGCTTACTCGCAACCTAAAACTTACGGGCTCAAGCAATCCTCCTGCCTCAACCTCCAGAGTAGTTGGGACTACAGGCATGAGCCACTGCATCTGGCCTTGTTTATTTTGTAGATACAAATTGATAGGTCATTTTAATAAATGTTTAATACTCATGATTGTGCATGCTCTTAGTTATTTTTAGCTCATTTGTAAATTTCTTGTGCTTTTTCTAATTTGGTTATTTTTTTTTTTATTTATTTATTTTTTTAATAGTATTGTTACTGGCATAATTGGTTACTTTTAAAGGCATTTGTCCTTTGTGCAAAAGTATTACAAA